CGTTGCGCGCTTTCGTCTTGCTTGTTGAGGATGTGATGCTTTTGCGGGCTGCGTCTTGCGTTTGTTTTTGTTTTGTGTTTTTTTGGATAGCCATCTGTAAATACCGGTTTTGATCGTGGTTGGGGCTGGCTGCATCTTTCTGTTCTCGTTGTTTTTGGTGATACATGTACTCTTTCTTGGTTGGAACATGCCATGGTGGTGATATTCTGCCTCGTGTACTCGGAAGCTTTCTGGGACGTTTTGAACCATTGTCCTGGCTGTGCACTGCCGAACCGCTTGCAACCGCACCTGTACGGGATGGTCTTCCTCTGTTCCTCGGGCCAAGGAGGCATATTCCATCGTGGGGTTGATCAAAGAGAGTCTGGGCCCCATCGGAGGCTGCAGTGCAACATCCCAACGGATCGGCCCGTTGCGTGTTGTTGTAGTGTACGTATCATAGTAGTATGTCGTAGTAGCGGTAATGGGGAGGGGTTGCGAGGACCTGTGTGAGGATTTTGCGACTGCCGGTTGCCCGAATCTGAAACCCCCTGATCCAGTGATATGAAAACAAAGTTCTGGGGACCTTAGGCGTACTTATACAAGATAATGATTGGAAAGCGTCTCTTCTACGCTAGTAAAGTACATGGGTGGCAGAGAGACTTCCTCAGCCAGAGTTCTGTATACAAGGTCCAGAGACAAAAGTCCTTCGACACCCGGTCCGAGACACGGACGGGTCCATGACAAAGCAGGGCCAGACGGAAGACCATTCATCAAAGGTCGGCGAAGGGAGCGCGCGGAAAGCGACCCGGCTGTCGTCCGTCCTCACCGCTTCGAGGTTCTCGCGGACAATCTGCTTGAGGCTCAGCAGGTCCTATGTCTTGTTGTGCGCGAAGCGCGCCGCCACGGCTTCGAGAGCCTGGAGTATACAGAGCCGTAGTCGAAGGGCCTAACGGCAGATAAGAATGAACATCAGGAGAAGTGTGCCAGTCCAGGCCTTACGAGGGGACGGAGAGTAGCGTCAGCATGAGCAAGAAGCATTCAATAGGAAGCGAAGAGCAAGACTTCTCGTACCCAGCCTCGTTTCGCAAAGATTTGATTCAAAGCATTTCGTTTGTTGGACGGGCAGTGGCGCAAAGGTGTGAACCAACGAACCCAGTGCGAGTCGGCGCGGGTCGGGCACACAGGGCCGAGAACTCGTCATCGCTCAGGTCCTGGTCGCGAGAAGGAGTGAGAAGATGAGCTCGTGCTAGGGTTTCAGTCTTAGGAAGAACGTACTTTTTCGACCTGGCGGAAGCAAGCAAGGGCCTGGTAGACGGTGCCGTAGTCGAAGGGTCGCACGGCCTCAAGGTTCTGGAGAACAAACTCCTGAAGGCTGAGCTCATTCTGCCTTCTGATAAAGGCGTGACGGGCCGCCACCGCTCGCAGGGCCTGTGCTTCAAAGCGCACGGGGGTGTCGGCGAGTTTGCACGGAGCCAGCGAGCTAACGTTGCTGAGAAAATAGGAGTGAGAAGATGAGCTCGTGCAAGGGCGTCTGCTTAGGAAGAACGTACTCTGTCAACCTGCCCCGGAAGCAAGCGAGCGCCCGGAAAACGATGCCGCTGTCGTGGCCCTTACGGCGGAGAAGGGCCTTGAAGGCAGCGTTCACTGCAGCGGACGCGACAATTCCCGCAAGCCAGCGCTTAACCTCCGCGCGGGTGTACCCGCGAACCAAGGCGACGGCCTCCCGATGATCCATCGTCGGACAGCCTGGGGCGTGAACCCCGCGTACCATGGTCCCGCAGGAGGGGAGATCTCGTTGATTGCCATCATGGTCGTGTCGTCGTCGCCAGAGAGGTGACGGTCGTACAAGGCCACAACGAGCCTAGTCCTTTCGTCCCTGCAGATGAGGGCTTGTGTCTCCCTGGCCTGCCTGGCCGTGATAGCGCCGGAGGCGAGCATGTCCGTGATAGCACGGAGCCAGCGAGCCAGCGTTGCTGAAAAAATAGGAGTGAGAAGATGAGCTCGTTCAAAAGCGTCTGCTTTGGAATCACGTACTCTGTCAACCTGTCCCGGAAGCAAGCGAGCGGACGGAAAAGGGCTCTCGCTGTCCCCTGGGGCCTTCACGGCCTCGAGGTTGTCTTCTGGGAACTCGATGGGAGATATCTGGCCGCGTGGAGATGGCGTTGCGGGAGCGCCACAGCACCCTCACCATCCAACGAGCGCTGGTGGACGGGGTCACTGAAGTGACCCTGTCGGTGCGGGGAATGGTGGATGGGTGCGTGGGAACGTTTGGGGAAGATGGGAAGATGGCGAAGATGGGAATGGAGGAAGGGGTGGGGGAAGAAGGAGACGCGTGTTGCTGCAGTACAGTACCCAGGATTTGGGTGGCTGGTAGGTTGATCGCAAAGTCGACAGCACCGCCCAACTACACACCAGCCAGCACCAGCATTGCACAGAACCAACAATCTTGACGAAAAGGTTGCACATTTTTCGACCAAGCACAGAATGGCAACAGACATTACGATAAAGGCCGCAAGAAGAATGCGGTTCCACCCACGGGGAGCCCGCTAGCTCAATCGGCAGAGCGTGAGGCTTTTAACCTCAAGGTTTCGGGTTCGAGCCCCGGGCGGGCCTCGAGAATCTGATCCGAAATGGTGGTCCACCCTGCGATCTTGTATCGTTTTGTCCGACTATATCTTCCCCGCACAATTTACTACATCGACGGAACCCTTTTGCACACTTGGGGGGCGAGCACGACCAGAAATAACGCGATCGGTCGAGAGTCCAACGGCCACACCTCGCGCTGCCCTCCCCGCCTCCCCGCCGCCCCGTCCCCTTACACGTCGGCACCGTCCTTATCGAGGACTCGGTGGTCAGCTTTACAGAGTAAAACCTCTTTCGCATCCTGCGTTTGTTTGGTCGTAACTCACGTTTCGTCCAGCTGGCGGGGCTGTCCAAAAAATAGTCCGTCCATCACTTTCGGTGGAGGACCAAACCCTGCGATAAAGGGAATCACTGACGATGGCGCGTAGAAGCGGGACAGGAAGCACAGGAAGGGGAAAAGAGGAATCACTGACGGCTTCGGAATGCCAGAGGTCGAGCTGCGATGCCAAAGTGTCAATTTCCAATGAAAAAACGCGTACGCGGCAGCTCGGCATCGGGGCAACGGCAGCGAACGCGGAAGGGCCAAGTCCAACGTTCTCTCCCTGGCCGCTTTCGCCTGTTAGCACACTCTCCTTTCTGCCCCGGAGATCTCTAACGCAGGTGTGACCATTAACGCAACGAGAGGCATAGAAGATGCGGCCACAAAGTTGATAAATACAAAAAAAGAAAAATAGAAAATGGCATGAGGGGACGAAATATGCAGAAAAAAATGTGAGTGGAAGACGGGGAGGAAAGAGTATAGGGCACGGCTGTTGCCTAGTGCGTGGAAGGATCATGTGTGTCGCGCGACAAACGAGATGAAAAAGAAAGATGCATGAAAAATCGAAAAATGTGTCCTCGTAGTCCCCCATTTTCCCCTCCCCTCATCGCTTCTTGACGTCACCTGCGGACGCCCCGGAAGCAGCGTCGTCGTCGACGGGGAGTTGTCTCAATGTGACCAGACTCGGGGTGTCGAATCCGGCGTCAACCACCATGTGCATCTTCTCCGGTTCAGAGTTCAGGACCCGAAGGTTCGACGTCGGGACGATCTGGACGAGTTCTCCAGAGTCCACGTCGCGGATCTCGACGAACGAGGGTTCGTAGGCTATGATGTAGGGTGGTATGAAGGCTAGAGGAGAGAAGCAATTTCAAAGGTCAGAAAAGAAAGTCCGAAATGAAGAAAAGTAGATGCTCTTACTGAAGTGCGTGGGAAACCCGGTCCACTGGATGAGAGCGTCGTGCTTTGTCCGCACCCCGAAACGATCGATGTAGAAACCGAACTCTGAAAAACGAACGATTTCCAGTTCAGTAACTTATTTTCCGTAAAGGATAACACTGGGAAATAACCTACCGTTGTAGCAAAGCAAAAAGTCACCGCTCGCCAATCGGAAGATGCTGATGGGTTTGAGACCTTCCCGCTTGTTGACGAAGTCCATCCGGTCGTCCTCGGCGTCAATGAGTCCTGCGAAATTCGGATGCAAAGTTGTGAGAAAGACGCCCCGTCGATGAAATCATTCAGAAAAGGCAGCACGCGACCAACCTTGAGGCATGAGCGTCTCCAGATCCACCACCTCGAAACCCTTGGAACATCCCACGCAGAGCTTCGTCCGAAGATAATGGATCGAGCTCGCTTCAGCTGGAATGTAAAATTCCTATGGAAAAGCCCAAAAAAAAGAACCACCAAAGCATGAGCACACGTTCGAAACACCTCACACACGGCACTTCCTCTCCCCAAGTCCCCTTGTGAACGACGACGTCCGCACCTTGCTCACCTTGAACGTCTTTACGCTCACGTCGGCCCCGGCAAAGAACTTGCCCAACTTTCCCCTCTTCTTGGCGTCCGCCACCGCGACGGGTTCGTAGATCTTGACCCTCGAGTTGAGGGCTGTGAGTCGTACTCCCGAGATGAACGTCCTGTCCCTGCAGACGCCGTTCTTGTAAAAGTTGAGGTGTCCGGAGATCTTCTCCCCACGCGCCGTGACGGACGCGAGGGCCGCGGAGGCCGTGGTCGTGGTGGGGTCCGTGACGGGGGGAGGACCGTCGAGGACGTCGATGGGGAACGTCCAGAGGGATTTCTCGGCGAGGAGGGTGATCATGCCGTGATCGGGAAGGACGTCGACCTGGGAAATCTTTTCGATCTCGAGTACCTTGCGGAAGGTGGGGGGAGGAGGAGATGATTCCTTGTCCAGGAGGTCGATGTTGAGAGGGGTATAGCTTGGCAGAGCGTCGGGATGAGTGGATTCCAAGGGCGCCACGAACATGCCCTGGTCAGTGCCGACCAAGATCCGATCTTTGTACACTGTGGATGAGTTTGCTCGACAGTTGTGAGGGAACGTCGTGTCGAAGAGGGTCACGAGCTTGAACGGAGGTCGATGTCGGACGGTCCGCAGGCTCTTTTGCTGCTCGATGGCGTCTCTCCATGTCCGACGATCGGCCTGGGATGCCGCGTAGAGAGTGTAGACGCCTCCCTCTCGACCGAGATGCGTGATAGTGAAGGGGAACCCCTTTGTGATGTCCAGGGCTGCAAGACTGGACCCTGATCCTGATGCAGTGTTCGCGCGATGGTAGGCCATTAGAGGATTGGAGGCTTTGGCAGGACCCGGCATGCTCTGTCCGTTGCTTGCCGCGGCTGCCTGCAGACTCGGCGGGGTGGGGTGGCTAAAGGATCCCGACGCCGAGGATCCCGACCTATGTCCTTGTCCAAACATGCCTGAAGCGCGCCTGCTGCTAGTGCCATGGTTGTCGGAGATGATGAGAAACTCGAGGGGTATTGGCCGCTTGTAGACTTTGTGCAATCCCGCCTTCTTGACCTTTGTCAAGAGAAGCATATGGTCGAACAAAAAGACCTGAAGGTCCACATCGCTTCCGTTCTTTCGTATCACCAGGTGGCCCTCTCTCGCCATAAACGTCTCCGGTCGACCGAGGTCAAGATCGATGATCTCTCCGGGATTAAAAACCAGAGACTGTTGAAGCTGCTCGAGCTTCAATTTGTTCTCGGCCCGTCCAGCCACCAGATTGATGCTGCTGAGGACCTCGCGGATGACGTGGATCGCCTGGGGGAGGAGAGTACGATCGGGGTGATGATCGGCCGCAGCGTCCATGGCCGACTTCAGTAGAAGCGGATATCGACCGATGCGCGTCGTGGGACGCGCAAGGAAGCTCTGCACCGGAAGCTTTCGGCAATCGGGGTTGCGCTCACATTCCTGATGGTAATTTCACTCATAAGCCGCTAATGGTCACAAACTAGAAAAAACCATTTGCTCGCCGATACCTGAAGGAACTTTGCAAACTCCGGGTTGTTAGTCCGCTCCTGGTCCAAGTGATATCTCGCCAAAACCTGCTGAGCACCGTATCGGACGTAAGCCTCGAACGAATCCACTATCGAGATGAAGATGTCGCCGATTTTGTCGACGATGGACGATTCCTTCTGCCGCGTAAGCAGCTTGGCAAGGAGAAGCGAGTTGATCTGGTATAGCTCGTCCACATTGTAGAAGACATTGTCGATGAACTCTTCCATTCGGTCCGCAGGGATGATCTGGCTATGTCGTAATGGTTCCACAAAAACCTAGCGCAAGCCGTGTAAGATGGAGCGAATCGATCAAGCCAGAATGTCATTACTCACCCGTCCAATGATGTCGAGATCGGTAACGAACTCGCGCTCGGTTTGGATCGTCTCAAAGATAACCTCCTGACGTTTCCGTTCCGAGTCGGACACAGACTCGACGATCTCCTTCGGCACCGACGTAAACCATAACTGGTGCTGCCAATCAGAACGAGTCGATGTTAGTCGGATCCTACTTCCAGGAAAACCGCCATCCAGGTACCTGCTTGTCGAAGTCGTTCAGCGACACCCTGCTTGGTGTGCGCTGCAGTTGCGAGCTCATCTGACTGACGATCCTCGTCTGCTGCTCCAGCCTCCTGGGACACGCGATGCTATAACACAATCGATCCCGCGTGCAAGTAGGTGAATAGCAATCCGTCAGCAGCGTAAACACCCCGTTGGGCAATCCGCCGTCCTCTGGATCTATGGGCTGTAACGACTGAAGCAGCGTCGGAGATGTGGGCGCGAAAGAGAAGTAGGATGCTCCGTCCTGCAGTGGATCGGCTAGGACGGGTGTCATAGGGATCTGAGCTTGAAACTTGTAAAGCTCGTTCGAGCTATCGCGGAGACGATGATTGTACGTCACATCGTGGAAGAACTTCTGGGCGTCCAGCGCCCGTCCGAGGAGAAGTGACAGATTCCGGTCCGTAGATTTGATGAGATAGGCTATTGTATCCTGAAGTGATGCCCATGCGTATCAGCGGATGTCAATGTAAGCAACCATCCAATTTTCAACGAAACTGACCACCGCCTCCCGCCCGACAAAGCACTCATTGTACTCCAACGAATCCTTAGACCGGTTGGCCAATGGAACTTTCGCTCGGAAAGCCTCAGCTACCATGGACAACATCGCCGGGTAAATCACGGGTAGAGCCAAATCGTTGAGGGTGGATGTCGCCGAATCGCGTCGTCCGACGTTGACCAGCGTGTTCGTCTCGCTAGGCGGATCACTGTCGACCCGCGGTGGCGGTGTAGGAAGGTGTGGGTGACGACCTAGCAGACAGGGATTGTGAGACAAGGTTCCCGACAAACATGTGTAAACGATTCTGTAGCACTGGAAGCCGCCGTGGTTTCTGTACGTGCGCAAGCACACCACTCCCGCATTCCCTCCATCTTGTCGGAATTTGTTCTAAATTGCTCGCGCTATGCTTCTCTATTCTGACTCACTCTGAGCCAACGGCGAGCTATGCATGGACCCTCCGCTATGCCGTTGTGGGTATCTGGGTTGCGGTGGCGGGAGGGATGATAGCGACGAAGTGGTCAAGCTGTGGACGAGCGGTTTGTGATGCATCTGCTGCTGTTGAGACTGGGGCATCACGAGCGGTGACGACACCATCGGCGGCGGCTGGAACGGGTGGTACTGGGATTGCTGCTGATGAGGGTGAGGCGG